ACTGCAACTCCTTACTGGCAGCCCCATGTGATCCACAGAGTCCCTTTCTTTTGTGGCACTTACTCATGTTAGTTCCATGGTATACTAAATGATAAGATATAATATAAAAGGATGGTCCAATAGGATACAGTCAGTGCGTTTACCTGCACAGCTTAATTGGACAAAGCTCATAATTCGGACTTCTCTCCTTGTCCACGTATACATGCAGTTGAGAAAATCGAATTATTGACGTGGACGTGTCCTCCTCCCAAAACTAGGGAGGGATATGGGTCTTTTCAGTAGTGCTGTTTCCAGTTGACTACATACAACTGTCAGATGTCAGAAGTGGCTACAACAGCTGCTGGGCATTTTCGGAGTACAGCAATAATTTGGTTTTCTCAAGTGTCATGGAAACTTACTGACTGACACAGTAGAATAGGATACCATGTGATATGGCTTATTGCAAAACTACGAGGTAAGAAAATATGTGATACACTACAAGAGATACAAGTTCTGCGAAGTAATTTCATTGTTTACATGAGTGAATTTATCTTGGCCTCGGTTGCTAAATTTTTTTCTTTTATTTTCCAAACACAAACATTCCAGCATGCTGTCACCATTTTTTTACAAACTGAATCACTGGCGAAATGCCTCACAGGTCTACTGCTCAGGTTAGTGGGTCGAGAATGAGACAGAGGTCAAATAGGTTTTAATGTCTGCTTGAAAAAAACAACTTACTGGCTCCTCTCCTGCCATTTGGAACACTCTTTGAATGCAGGCTTTCAGCCTACAAGGTTTTTACCTCGAGGACCGTCTGTGCTTCCTCTTCGCCTTTTCTGAATTGCTCTGAAATTGAAGACTGAATGGGCTTGTTTCTGGGTCATACAAAACTGAGGTCAACTCACCATAGGCAAGCTTACATTTCATTATAAAATTTCAAATAAGCGCATCCTGTGACAAAGACTCCCAACCCAGTTTGACATAAGAGAGGTTACCTGGCATGAGAGAGGTGTTTTATAAACCAGGTGTGTTGGTAAATCTTCCCAGCTGCAGTGGCCGCCATGACTGGATATTGTAATCTGTGCATATTTGCTGCTCTGATTATGCATAAAAACACACAGTTCTTGTGGACAGAGAGGCCCGGCTTCACTTATTAATACGATTATGTTAAATTATGTTAAACTGTGTGCATAATAGGTCAGCGGCAGCAACAGTCTGTGTAACACCAGCACAAGAGGTTTCAACATGTCCAATACAGTTCATGTAAAGAACTGAAGAAGAAGCGAATGAGCATGATAGATGCAATTAGATGCTCAAGTCACCTGACTTTGGTCATTAATTAGTGTAGCTATGACATGATGGGACGGGTTAATCAGTGAGCCCTTATTTATGATGATGTTTAAGGATGTACTTTACTATTTCTGTCAGGCTTAAGTCTCAGGGGATTGTGCATTCAATCATGGATGTACTTGAAATTGTGTGTTTATGTGCCACCACTATACTGTTCTGACTTACATTTACTCAGAGCCTATATTCCCGGACAAACGCTTGTAGTCGTCACAACTTTTTCTGTCTGATTTTTCTTTACCAACTCCCAAAATTGTCTTATTTTCCTCATTGATTATTTGCTTTCACAAGCGGACCCATGATCAAGAGGTGACAACTTTAAAGGTCAGACGGTGGAGCGTGTCAATACATAAAAACATCTTGGAATTGTTATTGACAACAAACTGTACTTTGAGATAAAGTGTGAAGCTGTGTGCAAAAAAGGACACCGGCACCTGTACTGTTCGAGGAAACTGTCATCTTTCCACATCGACAGAACCATGCTGTCCTTGTTTTATCGGACTTTTATTGAAACTGTTTTATCCTTTTGTCTTGTGTCTTGGTTTGAAAACTTGTCTCTTAAAAACAAAAAATGCCAAAACCAAATAGTGAAATGGGCGAGCAGGTTGGTTGGAGAGGCCCAGCTGTACCCACCATCCCTGTATACTAAACCGTTACAGAGGATGGCTGGCTCCATCTTAAATGATGGCTCCCACCCTCTCAACACTGAGTTTCAGCTGCTTCCATCAGGCAGGAGGCTCGAGGTACCAGCCTGTAAAACTAAGTGGTACGAAAATAGTTTTATTTCATGACCCATCAGGCACATTAACACGGGAAAGAAAACCGGAGAGCGGTTGGTTTTTATTTGGTTTTATTTGGTTCTTTCATTTTAATCTCTTACCCCTGAGCACTGTTGTCACTTTATATGTATGTACTGTGCTGTTTGTTCGTCTACTATCATACATGTGATTCACTGGAAACAAAATTTACCTTAGGGTACAAATAAAGTAACCTTTGAACCTTTTTCCTCAGGGTTAAAAGTATAGTCAGATAAGACACGTGCTGCAAATGTGAAAGAACATATGCAACAGTAGAAAGAAGAAATAAGTATGCTAAAAAAACACCTGCATGAAGAGAAAAATCGCTTATGATACAAAGCAACAATGCATAAGTTAGCAGACCAAAACAAAAGCTTCAGTGAGATTTTCTAACACTGTTGCTTCAGGCCTGCAGGGTTTATTTAGCATATTCATACAGTCATCATTTGACATAGTAAACAGAGGGACATAATCATTAGACACACAACACTCTGATGGTGTTTATCAGTAATAACAGATAAATTCAGTGTTTGTTTTTCTCCATCTGGACAGAAATGAGTTGTGTCTTGAATGGGCATCAGTGTTGATTTTAACACCCCTGTGGACAAAGTGGTAACCCCCTTTATCATAGCTAATTTAATCCCACCTTCATAAAAGAAGTGTTGATTGATAAAAAAATCTCCTCCTGATCGCTTTTTACAGAGAAATACATCACCAGCTGTGAACATTTGTTGTTGAAAAGGTTACTGAAGCTGTTTCTTTGGCTCACCAACCCACCACAGCACTTACAGGTACTAGAAATAACATTATGGAAATTATTCATCTTGTCAGTAATGCTCTTATTTGCATTTGTACATCATATAGATACACCACTGTTCATCTCAGGCACTTTTAACGTATACAGGCTTAAAAAGATGGTAACATTTGTACAATAAAATCTGCAAATTGGCTCTTTTTCCTCAGATGTCACACAAACTGACTACAAAGCCTTTTATGTACATCCTAATCTTCATTATACTACATGCATTTTCTTTGTCCTTTTATTTTACTCAGAAACTCGTGTCTATTTTTTATCAAAGGAAGCTTCAAAATGGCTTCAGAAGGTACTTTTGTCTCTCACAATCAACTCAGCATAGAGGTAATTGTCTTTATAGAGTGTTACCATCCATTCAAGGGACCATGGTAGTGCCATAATTCATTTTCAACTAACTATTCAGAGAACCTGGGTTTCCCTGAAACCGTCTGAGCTTTGATGTAAATGTATGTAAATGAACAGATTTCATAGCTTATCACCGCACAGAGAGTTCCTCTGTTAAAAGAATCTGAATTGCATTCAGAAAAATATAAAGCCAACGAGAATGTGTATTAAAAAATGCCTCAGTTCAAATAGTAAGAAACCCTCAAACAAAGGTTGCAGCTAAATGAGTATAAAGGTGAGGAATATGGCCTAAAAACAACATATATTTTTATTTTTTTTATACCAAAGTTGATTTTTACTATCAATCAATTTTTCTTTTCTTTCTGAAAAGAAAAAAAGAATGCATCCATTTTTTGTCTCCTCTCCATGTCTCCTCTTGGTGTAGCCAATGCAATGGGAAAAACTCCACCTGTTTAAGGTGCTTTTTAGCAGGTGTTTGTGGACCATGAGGGTCTTGTGCATTTCATATTGAGCTGATTTCCCCCGCTCAGCTGCATGCCTGTGTTTATATGTGCAAATAAATTTGTTGCGCTGTTGCATTTGGCTGCTACAGCCTTTGAACAAACTTTGTGGTGGACTGTGGCTTGTTTGAGAACCAATCTAGTTCTGAATGAATATTACCCTTTTTGGGAGCCAACTCTCCATAATGTTGGCAGCCTTGTTGCCTTTGTGTTGCTCCTTCAGGAAGTGAACAAGGGGCAAGAATGTCAATTACAAGAGCCCAAAAGATATGACTACAGACACAAACCAATAGATAAAACTTGCTTATCTTGCTGAATTTAAAGTTCTGACACTAGCTTATGCTGCCTTATGGACTTGTATTATTATACAAAGTCTGTTTTCTTTTAGGATATGTAAAGTCAGACATGATGCTCGTGGTTGTGTCACTAGAAAAGTTATTTCAGCCGTCAGTCAAGTGAGAAATGTCTTTCTGATAGTGAGTCACAAAGCAGTGGGACAGTAGGTATTGTTCTTTCCTCTAGTTGCGTTTGTCAAACTTGTCAAGAGTTTTTAAATGACTTTCATCAGACTTTCACTTCGTTCACTGGGATTTCTAGGGCAATCTTTTTCATTCAATCTTAGTCATTCCAATTTCCTGTTTTTTTTCTTGCGCATGAACAAAACTTCATTAAAGTTGGAGGAACATGTTGAATTTGATCTTTTGGTTATTATTTTTCTTGTTTTGTTTTTTCTCGGGATTCACTGTATGATGTTTCATGTCACAGTGACTGGCTCAGTCATGTTTTCCACTCCTGAATCGCTCCATCATGATGTATCAGAGACTTGAAATAATCGGACACAGCTAATGACGATGGCGATGTTGTAGTAGACAACTATGGTGGCACCCACCTGTCACTGAAAGACCACTGTAATAAGTATGCGCAGTTCAAGTGTATGTTTTATATATTAAACAGCTAAGTTACACATAAAAGTAGTTATCTTTCATAAATAAGTTACTTTCATAAATTAAACCTTTTTTTAAAAAGGCATAAAGGTGGGGTAGGCAGGATCTGAGGAAGTGTCAGTTTTTGGGAGAAATCTTGAATGTAAACTCTACCCCTTCTAAACAGTTTTCCCCTCAGCTCCTCCTCTCCCCTCTCTCTCTGCTCCAGCAAGCCCCGCCCACAAACAGATGCTCCTGCTCGCTCGTATCGTTTCAATTAAATTCAGATATAATGCAGATAAATACTTCAGAAAATTACAAATGAGGCCCAGTCAACGTGAAAGTAAACAGCATTGGTGCTACTGTAGATGCCAACAGACTACCAGCAAACACAATGTTTGCAGGACTTCTACAACTAGGATAAAGTGACATAGTCCAGGACCCGAGGTCAACAGTTTAGCAGCACTACAACACGCAGCAGGTCCTGTTTGACAAGAAACACTTTTGTTACAGACACTTGGCTTACTTTGTTAAAGCGGTTGGCGATCGTGGCTAAAGGAAGATTTTCTGTACTTTCTGATTGGTTTCTACTGATATTGTAGCACGTTAACTTTGTTTGGGCTCGTGAACGACACGGGGGAGCAGCATCTGCCTAACAACCAATCAGCACAAAGGAGCAGCATCCACCTCACAACCAATCTGGCTGGGGGAGGTGGGTAAAGGCTTTGTTTACCGTTAGAAAGAGCGGGCCGCTCAAAAATTTAAAAATGTTGACTACACAGACATAACAAAACACAGCGATATTATTGTATTCCCAAATTTCATCAATAACTAATAGCTATTGACTGATATTAAAGCTTTTTTGTATACACCACAAAAAAGACGCTTCTTTAACAAAATCCTGCCTACCCCACCTTTTAATGCTTTTGGTGCCTGCGTCAAGTGGCCACTCAAGGAACTGCACGTGGTTAGTCAGTAAGCCTGCTAGTCTGAGGGGGTCAGAGTGTACGCACTATAGTAGACCAGTAAAAGTAGACTGCACCCTGTTTTTCCCCAGTGTTTGTGTTCATACACTTTATGTTGTAAAGTCAGAAAAGAGTTATCTGGAGATTGATGAGTTTAATTTTTACAGTTCTCCTAAAGGACCAAATGGAACCTGGAAAAAAAAATGTTTTTGCTTTCAGTGTGATGATAACATGCTTTTTTTTGGTTCAGGGACTTCTGAATCAGAGCCAGACTCCCTTAATAATAACACAGTTTTATAAGCTGTGCAACTTTGATAAACATCGTAAAATGCCGTACATAGCAATTATCAGTTGTTTGCTCCTCTCTTGTGAATTTGGCATATGTTCAAGTGTTTTTAAGTGCACACGTATTAGGATAATTACAGGAAACTCTCCGACTCTGGTGCTAGTTTTGTCCTGTTTTGATTCCCTTATCCTAACAGAAGTATTAATTATCTTTTCTGAAACTGGCTGGGAAATGCAGTGGAGTCCTCACAGTCAGAGGGTTCAAAGGAGTTCAAGTCTGCACTTATTTATAACTCGAATCAAGCTGAACTCAGATTACTCAGACAGTTTCACTTATGTAAAACGGCTTAGTGATGTCAGGGTGTTTGTATCTTCTTTATTAATTTTATTCTATTTTTTAAGCTCCACACCACCCATCCCCAACTCATCTACACTTCATCAGGATTAGCCAATGATCCTGATATTAAAGCCGGGTTCTCACACTGAGACAGGAGGTCTTCTAATCTGTCCAATCAAATTCTCTTCCTAATGAGAATGACAAAAACATGAGTGTTTAACGAGTTATTATGGGAGCATGTAAACAGAGAGATGACTGTGTGTCCTCCTGTGTGACGAGTGGGAGAGAAACCACAGTTTTCCTTTTTGTCCAAATAATGGAAAAAGGGATTTGCCCTGTTCTGGGTGCAGAAAAAGAGCAGTGTATGTGTGTGTGTGTGTGTGCTCAGTTGTTCTGTGAAGCATACACAGTGGAAACGACAAGGTGTAAAGATGTGCACACACACACACACACACACACGCAAGCACACAAGCACAAACAGACAGGTCAGTCTGTGTTTGGTCTGCTGAAACAGGGGAGAGAACAGCTTGTCCAGTGTGTGTGTGTACATGTATGTGTGTGTGTTTGTGTTAGTGAGCCAGATCTGGGAGTCCTCTCCTCTTAACCTTTCCACTACAGGTTCTACTTTTGGTCCAGGCCGTGCTAAGCGCCTGGGATAATGTTCTGCTCTTTTAATTGTGCTTTTAGTGAGATGTGTGAAGGTCTTTTGATACTGCCATTGCGCTTATGAAAGTCAGTTCTTTTCTCCTGTCAATGCCCTATTGTACCTCCCCCTCTCAGAAGAACAGAGTGTTGTGGTCTGGGAGACTGTGCTGAAATTCATATTGCAATATGAAAAAAAAATATGTCATGGCTGATTAAATCTGTTTCCTCCTGTGAGAACTTTATGTACAGTAAATCAGCTGCCGACTGATGAGACAAATACTGAGGACGATCTGTCCTTGATTGATGTAGGTAAACAAATTCTCAGGCATGAGCGCATAATGTAATGTTCCTCTTTTTATCATGCTTTAGTGGTTAAATAATATCAGAGCACGGCTGTTAAACTGTGAATTTCTTTAACTATACTGACAATGTAAAGCAGCTCTTGAGAACCAAAAGACTGCAGTTTCGTGTAGATTTTGAGCATGACTAAGATTTATTATTCACAGCTGCACCAGTGTGTTCTGACACCATGACTCACTGTAAAGGTAGAAAACAGCTTCAAAGTGCATACTAGGGCCTGACTGATATGGATTTTTTGGGGCCGATGCAGATACCGATTATTGGGGGGGGGGGGGGGGGGATCTAATTACGATTAATCAGACGATTTTTAAAAAAATTTATGAATTTATAAAAAATCATAGCTACTGCTCCTCACGCCGACAGGAAGACCGACTGATCAAACTCGGACCAGAAAAGCGTTTTCAACTCCCCTCCCCGACGATCGGTGCCTCCGCATCTTAACTCACGTTACTCATTTCCGGTCTCATCTGGAGACATGCAGCTGCCTCAGTAAGAGAGGTAGCTCGATCAATGTGTACTGTTGTTTATTCTACCGTTACTCGCATGGCTAACAGTGTAGCAAGGCTAATAGCAGATGGCTAACCCTAACTTTAGCTTGCATATTACATGGCGCTTCACTCGGCGAGACCGAGAACAGCACAGTGGGGAACATCGTGAAGTGGGTTGAACTGAAACTTGTTGACTTATTGTGTATTTCACAAACTAGTTTATTTACCGTCGAGGCGGACCACTCTACTCCGTGTGTCCCTGCTTCAGATCCGTCACTCTGCTGTGCTGTGCAATTAGTCTCAAACGGGCTAAAATTGGCTGATTTAATCGCTCGCCGAAAAAACAGTCATGTTTACAAAGTGTTGTTATAAAGGGCTTGATAAATAATGAACATTTACATTTACAGTTACATTTATTCAAAATAAGAAAAACTGAAATTATTTATGTAACAAGGTGAAAATAAACAGTTTTAACAAACTTCATCAATTTCTATTCATATCATATTTTCTTGCCCTCCACTAGACCACACCAGTAATGGAAAAAATATGATAGTCATGCGAACTCCTACTTAAATTGGATGGAAAAATTCCTGGAATAAAATCTAGTTCTCTGTAAAACCTAAAAAACATTTATTAAGCTTTTGTCACGGGCAGGCCAAGTAAAGTGTACATAATCATCTTAGCTTTAATCAAGAATATGCATACGGCCTCTGATACTGGTTAAATATTTTATTAAAGCAGCTGTCTGGTCAGCAGGTGTAAAATAAATATCAAACACCCTGTAATGCAGATCTGTACTGGGGCAGGTGTGTTCTTGTCTCCAGCTGCACTGAGGGAGAACACATCTTGGATAACTCCCAGCTGCTGCTTCTGCGGCTGGCAGAAACTGCATGTTCGAGGCTATCTGTTTCCTGTGGATGTTCCAGTCGCCGCAATGTCTCACTTAGTCCTTGTTTGAGTAATAACACCGCTAAAATGTTGTGTACCTGCTCATATAAAAAGCTGGGACGGTTACGCGATGTGAGTGGGATGACAGAGTCTCGCAGTGGATGCCAGAACTTCTGATAGCTTTTTGACAAATTTACAGCCTGTCTAAAAATAATTTAAAAAATAAAACACTGGTGCGAATGATCAGCAGAATTTCTGTTTGGACGCAGGAGGTAGAAAGTCGTCCAGGGCAATTAATTCACACTCAAATTAGAGGGAAAACATGTTCAAATGATGGTTTAAGTGCTCACATGATCTAAAAACACAGTTTGTGACCACGCATATCATTATGATAATTAACACGAGATCTCATTACATGTATAGCGCATAATTACCTCTCATCATGAACGCAGGCCACTTCATTAAAGACATGGTACATCTTGTACGTACAGAAAAGACCACCTTTGCCGTCCCTGCACGCAACCTGTCAAGGCTATTGTGAGTGATATTTGTTCTGTTTTCTACATTAATACCATGAATATGAATGAATTTCACAATATGTACGCGTCCTCGCCAATTTTAAGCTCAGGTATATTGAGAATACTTTGTGTGCAGGTGTAATTGCTTGATTTTAGGCCTTTGTTTAAGCTGTTGATGCACTTCTGGTGCCTTGAAAGTTATTAATAAAAAGGAATTTATGAAATGGTGAATACCTGAAGTTCAAACTTTTAAATCAAATTGTTTGTTCAAGCTTTCTGTGAAGAGGTGAAACAGAATCAGAAAAAGAAAACCGCCCCTGAAAGGATCTGTTATTCCTATTTCTGACTGAGATCACGGCTGCAGGGTCGGCGTGGGGTGAGTTTATTAGAAACCGCTTTTCAGAACATTTTGAACCGCAATGTTCCTGATGAGTGATACACGGCTGTTAAAATTAAGGAGGACATATTGTTATTAAAAAATTCTCTTACACACAAAAAAGGGCTTTAATTATTACGTCTCACAATCATAATGGTAGAGACTGCTATGTCAAGTGTTAAATGCCAGCAGATCTCAAAGTGGAAATAAAAAAAAAAAATCAACATCTTTTGGACCTGGGAGTCCAGGACACATAATCTACTCTTAAAACTTTGCCGCCCCCCAAGACTCCTGGTGTTTTTCCAGAATGTGACTGATGGTAAAATGCCATCCACAGTCTATGATGTGATTGTTTACACCCGTGGTGTCAGGCTTGGTGAAAACTGACTGCTGCGCTGCTTACTAAACTCTAATGGGGCACTCACACCTAGCATGAGTAAAATCATCTACTCGCTTAATTCGTGCAAATCTAGACGCATGAATGAAAATTATTTACTCGCTTCATTCGCACGTTTATAGGCGTTTTTATAGCCATCTAATTTCAACGGTAATCCCTGCCAGTTCAACAGGTGATAGACAAAGGTTTATTACAATTTACCAGGTAATCCGACCTCCTCACTCATTTGCCTCCATGCGAGCGTCACCCGGCAACCTTTGTGCTGATTAGTTATTGCGACGGGAATATCCGCTCAAGTTGAGACATTTTCAGCTCTCGCCTAATTCTCGTCATTCGCACTGCCAGAGTAGTAAGAGCGTTTAATCGCGTCACATGTAATTTATTCGCGCAAATGGTTTTACTTGTGCTTGGTGTGTGTGGAGGCTCATCAGCCTCATCTGTAAAATTTACTAATACACGGTTGGTGGTTGATCGGACAAACACGCTCCTTCTATGTGATCCAATTGTGGCTCATTTTTTAACACTGCTGATATGCAATTCGGTAGCCAAGTGTCGCCAGATCCACCAGGCCAGTAGTGTTGTCTACTTGGAGTTGAATTGGGGTTAAGTTCTTCAAGATACCGATGCAGACGCACCACGCTAGCCTTTTCACTTGTGCTTCTTTTTGTTGTATGAACCCTCTTTTGTCCATTTTTGTAGTAAAACCTTCAACTTTTTATCTATTCCAGAAACATTTGAAGGTCCACATTGTAGCTGCTGTAAATATTTTATTTTTCATGAAACATTTTCCCGAATGGAATCACCAATCGTAAGAGGACTGTATTTACATGGCACGTTGCTGTAGAGCAGAAACATGTTTCTCTTGATCTCATCTGTTTTTGTGTCGGATTAATCAGTGCTATTGATGCCTCTTATGCTTTCAGGCATTTCACAAATGAGAAGTATTTGGAAAAGCTCAAGGCTGAGTCTCATGCGATCGAGAAGTTATGTAAGGAACGTAGGGGTCTCGAGGTTCCTAGAAAGTAATGGTTTTAGAAATAAAAACTGTTTGCCTTTCAGCACTTTACTTTTCTCCCAACCATTTCCTGCTTCACACATGTCAGCGTCCATCTTTTTAAACACTCACATTCATGCTGCTTTGCAAAGTGCCCAGCTGCAAATTAGTCCCAATCTTGAATGAATCACTCACAGTCATGCTGTCAGGAGTAATTTGAGGGTCAGACCTCTGGGTTTTGGACACTTTAAAATACAATCTACACATAATCCATTGATTCTGTTTAATGAAACTTAGCTATTTCTTATGGAGACATGCAGAAGACCAAGCTTTGAATGCATCCCTCCTCCTCAGCAGTGTACAGACAGTCCCTGGCAGTAGTTTCCACTCAGGGTCAGACACAGGCTGTAATAACTGTGAGAGCTCATCTACCAAGGGCACATACAGTAATATACAGCACAGTGTGTGATGATACTTTATGCCTCTGGATGGACGGGTACAGTATGTACATAAGCTGATCTCTCGAGAGATATTAGAAACACATACACCAACAATGGGTCCTGACTTGCGTGGCAGACGTTCAAAGTAAAAATGTTTTCCTCATGTCCGATGGGAAGGTTATTTGATTTAGTAGCACAATATCACAGTGGGGGCCGGTATTGCGGTGAATAGTTATGTAATGTTCTTTTCACTTTATCAGTAATAACAAGCCAAAAAAAAAAAAGCACCATAGACGCCACTCTATTTATCTTCAAAGCCTGCAAGAAAATCCACAAAAAATTGAAGCCATGCTAATCACATCTGAGCGTATCATCAAAAGCGCTCCCTGTCAATCTCCCTGCATGTAATCCTCAAATGTGCTTTTTTTTCCCGCCGTTTCTAAGCAACACAAACCACCTGTTGCCACTGTGACACAAAAATGCTGAGTGTAGCCTCTGCCATCTCCTCTCTGGTTAGATTACACAACAGCAGACACATTATAATGGAGTAACAGATGTCATTTAACCGCACAATTCGAGAGCAGGGTCCAGAGTGGATGTGGGAGGCCAGTTCCAGTCGGTTTGTGCTGTGTGTGCTTCATATTCATAACAATAAAATCAGCCATATGTCTGCGCATACATACGGACGCGTGGAAAAGGTGTCAACAAGTTGGCCACACTCGAGTCACCGAGGGAGCACTGTTGGTTAATTCAGAATTCACCATCTGTTACTGTCTGCATACGTCTCAGAGTGGAAACACTGAGTCGGTTTGAGGGAGAAAAGCTTTAAATCAGTTTTTCTGGAGTGTAAGAAACAAACTGTGTTAATAAAGGGACTGAGACCAGAATATCCGAGCCTCCTCGGCTAACGTTTGGATTGTGAAGTCCGACTCAAGTCTGGATTTTTGGGACTAATGCTTTGACTTGAACTCCAGCACTGATGACTCAGACTTGTACTCAGACTGAATGACATAATCAGTAATTTTTTTCTCCTCTGCACTTTGGGGGAATTTAAAGGTGAGACAAAGTTCATGATTTAATATCATACAATAAAAAAAAAATTGAATTTCCCCGTGTGGGATGATTAAAGGAATATCTTATAGCACATTTAGTGGACTTAAACATATGCTTTTATTTCTTCATGACATTTTAAAACCAGCTCACCACAGTCAGGTGCAAATAAAAGATGCCGCCTTTCGTAATCATGATGACGTGAGTCCGTAAAATTGACATTTCATGACACTAATTTTGCAAAAGCCTTTAAAAAATACACAGAATGATCTGACTTCTGTGTACCCTCTCATCTGGAGTCTGGAGTTGAAAAGCCACAACTTTGAAGCTCAAACAGGTTCTTACCTAAAAAGAAGATCTTAAAATCGGTTGACGATACGTCCTCTTTTACCCGAACATGTCCTCTCTTTTGGGGTTTTTCCGGGGAAGTTTAAAAATCGTTCAAATGTCCGCAGTTTTGTATGCAAGTTTCAAGTTTGCGCATAAAAAACACTCGATCCAACCCAAAAAAACTCTCAAAATTAACTTCGTGCAAGTTTGGGACTCAGCCCCCACGTAGTTGTGTCCTCCTTTTGGGAAGTCAGAATATGATCACCCTATTTAAAAGAACTTTTTAAACCCCCTTATTACATTTCCTAAATGGTGAGATTGTTGTGCAAGTACCGTACATGTCATATTTGATATCTTTGCAAAGCGGAAAGTGGTGTTCAGGCTTATTGGTAACATAGGCTGAATTTGTTTGCTTAGATTATGTAATTCCTGTTGCACATCTGAAATATAAGTTGCAGAGTTGTACTGTGTTTCCTTTCAAGGACATTTTTCCAACATAATGAAAATAGCATGACAGATAATATTCAATTTATGATGTAATTCCTCACAGAGGATATTAGATTTCTTTTGTGAGTGAATGTACATATTCATATTGCATTTCATCCCTTGAGATGCGGTAATTGTTAATGTGGGAGATACAAATGTCGTGTTCAAGTGAGATAGAAGGCCGCTTTGCCTCTCGCTATTCAGCTCCTGACCTCTGCGATAGACAACAAACTTGAACAGTTGTTTAAGTTTTCTCCTTGTGTAAATGAATGAATGCAGAAAAACACCTTAATTGGCAGCATTTAAGCAGGATACTCTGACGTACAGATGCAGAAGACTTCCTCATCCTCCCAGCAACAACCGATTGCTTTTCTTCTTTTTACCGTTTACCCACAGCTTACACACAGAACAGGCAGGAGTTGTACAGTGTTACTGGGTTTTTGTCATGCCCAGATGTTTTTATGATCTCCTCTAGGGGGTCAAAAGTTTGCTACAGGGGGTGTAAACATAATACAGACATGGCTTCAACATGCAACTCAGATTTGAAGAACAGAGTGGCATCAATAGCATGCTCTTGGACCCATAAAGCAAAGATCCAATATCTTTGATATTGAGGGTTTAAAATCATTACGACTACATGAGTAATCTTGGAACTCATCAGCAGTCATCATCTGACGTCAAGGAGATATATATGCCTCTGAGAACTTTTTAGAAATGACAGTGTAGGCAGAAATTATGAAACAACTTCCAGGCAGGACTTTTCTGCACAGGGTGTGAGTCCACAATGCAAATGCAGTCATTTCTTAAATTACTGCATCCTGAAGACAGAGCCCACACTTCTGTTTCAAGCACTGAAAAGTTCAACAGACACTTCAGAAAAGGAAGTTACTTCCTCTGGATTTACTGACAATTCATGGGTCGTCAATTTGACAAAATACCATCATCATGATATAGGTTTATAGACCATAGAAATGCAAACTTTGCTCTTAAGGGGAAAAATCAAATCTTTGATTGTGTTTGTTGAATGGACGTCGGATCGATTGTTTCTGAGTCAGGAGAAGTCGCAGCTCATGGGCTTTTCCATCACTGCATTGACAAGATTTGTGCCTCAGGTTAAGACTTTTGATCCAAGGCAGCGTTTGAGCTGCACTTGCATTAAGATATCGGAGGTTAATAGAAGTTAATTAAAGCTACAAGCGGCGATGAATGGGACCTCTCACCTTTGCACATGTCGTGGCCTGTAGTAGCAGACTTCGGTTGTGCAGCAGATTGTGTCTGTGCTGCATCTGTGAATTTACAAACAGGTCTGTAGATCTGTTTGGGTTCGAGACGGTTTCAATATTTAATGCATAGCCCAAAAAATGCAGCGAGGTGGCTGCATGTGTCGGAGCTGGGCATGATGCTACACCTGAGTTGACAGTGTTACAGTTAACAAGTCGGAAAACCAAGATGGACGCCTACAGTTACCAGTTGTTAGCTGTTGTTTACAATTGTCAGCTGTTGTTGGTCGTTTTCAGCAGTTGTTAGTTGTTGTTAGCGATACCAGTTGTAAATAATGCATAACACAGTATTTTACTCTACTAACACCGTAGCACCGTGCTCACAGTTAGACGTTGGGCAGTACAACATATACCACTTATTTAATTTCACAAAAACAAAACAGATGTGCTAATAAATAAGACATTACGAGAACTTTTACTGTTACTCTTTCCGGTTGATGCACTGCGCTGCCATCTTGAATTATGACGTTGTCATCAAGTCGGGGTTGGCAAGGATCGTCCAACTTTCCAAGTTGGAAATCCGACTTCAGGGGGGCGTTCCAGATGAATCTCCGACTCGGAACTCGGAAATCTCAACTTCCAAGGACAACTAGAATGCAGCATAAAGCCCGCTGATAGATGATTGTCCAATACATCTTGAGATACAAAAGAAACCAGGACACAATATCCTGTAAGAAACAGAGACAATACGGTGATGCAAACAGAGTTTATAAGTGTGTGTTTGGGATTTCACATACTGCAAGAATAACTGTGCTGTTTCTCCTTGTGCTGTCTGGATTCGAGAACTTTCAAGGCTCTGTAGTTTGAGGCTGGCCTCAGGAAGCCAGGTTCCTTGAGGTCAGAGAAACACTGAGTGCACATGGAGGATGTTGATCACTACAATGCTCAATAAACATGGCTGGTCAAAAAAAGATACGGAGGGTAGTGTAAAGCTGCCATGACGCAGAGTGAAACTGAGACGGCTCATGAGTTCAGCTGAGAGCTCAGGTAAGAGAGTGCACGGAGGTTCACTATTTGCATTTATGAAGTAGTTCCATATGGACGTATGTGTGTGTGTTTGCATGCCGCGTACATCGGCTGTGCATATTTGTATCCGTCCACTTGTCCATCCTCTCTTATAACTGGACATTCGGTTCATCTCTGAAGTCGTGGTGAACTCTGAGCCCCTGATGCACTCTGAGCAGCTGGACCAATTATACATAATTAGCGAGGTGCAGCGGCTAGGCTAACATAGAACCAGTATTGACCCAGCCTGTCATTTAGTGAGCACAATGTGTGCTCCTGCAGCTGGTAATGACTATTCGGTGCCCTGGAAATCCAGCTGGGCAGATTGTGGGACATGACCTTGTGTTCTCTCATGTCAACTGGTATATGGGACCTACACACATTACAACTGGGCACAGAAGGAACAGGAACATGGCAGGAAATCTTATTTTGAGGCCTTCCAGGTAGAACTTTGTATAATTATATCCCTCTGAATCTATCCTGGCACCATACTTTCTCGCTACTCCTGTGTTGTGTTAATGCGTGCTCTCTTACTTGTGTTTACATTGACTTGTCCTCGCATTTATCGCTGTGCTGGATGATGCATGTGCCAGCAGAAGGGCAAAGATACAAAACCGCCAAAGACGACCTTGTCCTTTTGGCTCAATGCCACTTACTCCCTTCGCGTTCCTGATTTTAACTTTTTCGTGCCTCATGAGCAAATTCCTCGTCTGCAGCCCAGCAGTTTGTGATCCGTCTGAACTCAAAGAGGAGCTCCAGGAAAAGTGGTAGAACGTTCTCATGTATAATTGCAGAGCATTTATGTGCAATCATATCCATTAAGATTCTTTTTTGTCTATGCCTGGGTTCACCTTATAAGAGAGTTGTGTGGAAATACTAGACTATATCTTTTTTTTTCTCACCCTGTGAACTCTGTGACTCTGTAAAAGGCCTTTGCTCTCAGTCACCCCAATCTGGTTAAGTAGAAAGTATTCTCTCATGGATGCAGTTGTTGCTTTAAAAAATCTAAATAGATTCCCTCTTTGTGTTATTCTTGCTCATCCACCTTCACTGTCTATTTTCTGAGTGTTGAGGAGGATATGAATATCAGGGATCGTTGAACCCGAATGCAGACAAAGTGTTAAAATCATGAACTTTGAGTTTGTGAAAAGGATCTTTGTTCTCAGTCACTCTAGACAAGGAAGTTCTTCAAAAAAACTTTTCCCATTATTTCTACTTACGTAACTTGTCTGTTGGGCAATTAGAGCCACATTTAAGCTCCTGTGAGGGATTTTTTATGAGTTATAACACAGACTGAAAACAGTAATTAATTAACAACTTTGAATATAAATCTACTACAACTTCGTGACTGTGTTGAAAGGACGCCATTCGCTGCAGTGGTGACTTTAGATACGTCTTTCAGTCCCAAAGAGAGGAAATTGTGTCATGTCAATCCTACAAAAGACACTTCTGTCCGTCATAGTTGTCCATCACATCCATGTCAGGAAGACATGGATGTTGTTAGCTATGCCATTTTATTTGTCAATGCTTGTGGCACTTTACGCGAGGGTGACCACATTCTGAGGACACAACTACGCAGAGGTGGAGTCACGCAGTCGCATCAAGTTAATTTTGAGAGTTTTTCGGGTCGGATCGAGTGTCTTTTACGCACTTCTAACTTATTAATTCCACGTGACACAAACTTGAAACTTCCATACAAAACCCCAGACAATTGAGGGATTTTATTAACTTAGCCAGACAAGGCCGAACAGACTGCCCCCCAGAAAAGGGGACATGTCCGTGTAAAAAAGGAGGTATGGTCACCCCACCTTATGCTTTCACTGTCGTCTGACCTTGGCTTTCAATACTTGGCAACATACACTCACCGGCCACTTTATTAGGTACACCTGTCCAACTGCTCGTTAACACTTAATTTCTAATCAGCCAATCACATGACGGCAACTTAGTGCATTTAGGCATGTAGACATGGTCAAGACAATCTCCTGCAGTTCAAACCGAGCATCAGTATGGGGAAGAAAGGTGATTTGAGTGACTTTGAACGTGGCATGGTTGTTGGTGCCAGAAGGGCTGGTCTGAGTATTTCAGAAACTGCTGATCTACTGGGGTTTTCACGCACAACCATCTCTAGGGTTTACAGAGAATGGTCCGAAAAAGAAAAAATATCCAGTGAGCGGCAGTTCTGTGGGCGGAAATGCCTTGTTGATGCCAGAGGTCAGAGGAGAATGGCCAGACTGGTTCGAGCTGATAGAAAGGCAACAGTGACTCAAATAACCACCCGTTACAACCAAGGTAGGCAGAAGAGCTCTCTCTGATTCCTCTGGACTGTTACTGTTACTGCAGACATGAACATCAGCCTCACTGTCATTATTGACATACAAAATAGAACTGACTACGATTAAGCCTGCTAACTGTAATCACACTCAATTAATTCAACATTGTCCATTATTTCTCATATCCTAAACCTGTAAACTGAACGTCTTTTTGTTTCACCATTACATGAGCTGTTGTCGTTGTTGCTGTTGTTCCTGCTGCCTCCTGTCTCTCTCTCATCACCCTCGTTCCCTACTCTCTCTCCCTCCCCCTCCCTCTCCGTACTAATTCTCTCTCGCCTTTCCCCTATCTTGCTGTCTCTCTCCCTCCCCCTGTCCTCTCCCCCTCTCCCCTCTTCTCTCTACATTCCTCCCCAACCCAGCAGCGGCATGGTGGCTGTCTAGCATGAGTCTGGTCCTGCCCAAGGTTTCTGCCTGTTAAAAGGAAGTTTTTCCTTGCCACTGCTACTCATGTTAGTTGAGATGGGCCAAAACCCATCTTAGGTTGGTTCTTGATCATCAAACAATGAGCGTGGTCTCGACCTGCTCTTGTTCTTTGGAAAGCGTCTTGAGATGACGACTGTTGTGAATTGGCGCTATATAAATAAAATTTGATTGATTGATTGATTGAAGAGCATCTCTGAACACACAGTACGTCGAACTTTGAGGCAGATGGGCTACAGTAGCAGAAGACCACGCCGGGTGCCACTCCTTTCAGCTAAGAACAGGAAACTGAGGCTACAATTTGCACAAGCTCATCGAAATTGGACAATAGAAGATTGGAAAAACGTTGCCTGGTCTGATGAGTCTCGATTTCTGCTGCGACATTCGGATGGTAGGGTCAGAATTTGGCGTCAACAACATGAAAGCATGGATCCATCCTGCCTTGTATCAACGGTTCAGGCTGGTGGTGGTGGTGTCATGGTGTGGGGAATATTTTCTTGGCACTCTTTGGGCCCCTCGGTACCAATTGAGCATCGTTGCAACGCCACAGCCTACCTGAGTATTGTTGCTGACCATGTCCATCCCTTTATGACCACAATGTACCCAACTTCTGATGGCTACTTTCAGCAGGATAATGCGCCATGTCATAAAGCTGGAATCATCTCAGACTGGTTTCTTGAACATGACAATGAGTTCACTGTACTCAAATGGCCTCCACAGTCACCAGATCTCAATCCAATAGAGCATCTTTGGGATGTGGTGGAACGGGAGATTCGCATCATGGATGTGCAGCCGACAAATCTGCGGCAACTGTGTGATGCCATCATGTCAATATGGACCAAGCTCTCTGAGGAATGCTTCCAGCACCTTGTTGAATCTATGCCACGAAGAATTGAGGCAGTTCTGAAGGCAAAAGGGGGTCCAACCCGTTACTAGCATGGTGTACCTAATAAAGTGGCCGGTGAGTGTAGTTCACTTCTCCATGTAACATGAATCCATAATGAATCCGGTCATGAATGTTTAAAATATGCGGTTCACTATCTGAAGACAGTATCAAATGTTTATCGTCTGATTGGAGGAAACTCGCTCGACATCTTATAAAACCTGGGAGAAGACATCCACAAGATTTTTACTCTTTAAGAAATCAACATCTCTTCAGTCCAAGAAGGTCACCGTGAAGTCCAAATGTTGAGCTATAAACCCAGTTCAGTATCAAACAGTTCTGTTGACGTATCTTCAATAAATTCGACTTCTGTAAAATACAAGATCTGTTTAAGTCACGCTCGTGCTCTCCTCCCCCATCGGGTGACTTTTATTGCTCACACGACCGTGAGGAGTTTAGTCATCAGCACCTTTTAACTAAAAATAGAAGACTGTTCCCCCAAGATGGTTCACAAATCGCTAATGTTGCCGGAGCAGGTGTGCCTCCGTTTGTAAAGTACAGAGTAACACCATACCTTCTTCGTCACAGACTAATTCAAATCTGTCCATAAGCAAAGACTGTACAGAGATTTTAAGACTCTGCATGTTATAGATTTGTCTGAAGCCTTCGGCAGATTTCAACAAAAGCTATTATTTACTCAGGATATTACTCGGTTGCATAATACACCCCTGACACAAACTGTCAATAGAAAATATGAGACTTTCATGTTCTCCAGTCACACCAATTGAACAAACTTGGTTTACTGAATGATGTTTGGCAGGCACCTTACAGCAGCAGGATGGGGTAAAGACTGGTGATGCTGCCTCAATGGGGGACCGGACTACAGGTGGTACGCAGGGAGCTATAAAGGTGAGGAGACTGGCTGTGAACTGCAGGGGACAAGTTTTTGCAAGTGTGGGCCAATTAGCTTTAGCAAATGAGAAGCAAAGGTCTCAAGTTAGCATGGTCTTAAAGCAGTCCCTTTGATCGCTACGCTATTGTACAATAATTGGATGGATCTTCATAGAGAGAATATTTCATGCTTAATGAAATATGGAAATATTTGAGGAACCTTCATTTATGTTGCTCTTACCTTTTTACTTTTCTGTTCCAGTATCTAAGTAATGTTCCCTGATGAATGATCTGACCTTTTTTTGTTGTAATAGTCTGATTCATTACCTCTGCTCTGTCGAGGCAGGCTTTTAAGTACTTTAAGTGGAACAAGGTTAATGCTGATACTCCTTTTATTCACTTGTCGGCGTGTGTGTTAGGAAGGTCTCATCAGCAAATCAGCAGTGTTATTGCCCTAAATTTGTCCTTAACCAGTAGCTTTGGTAACGCTTAATCTATGGCGAAATAACAAGCGGCAACCTTTAATCTTGAGGTATAAGTTTGTTGATGTGCAGTTCTGAGTGCTCTGTTGAGGCTGGCTGTATAAAAACCAGAAACATTGTATGCATGCCTTGTAAAAATCATTGCGTCTGAGGGCTCCCATAGCACCTAATGTACAGAGCATGAACTTTTTTGTAACACATTTGTCACAGACATAGGGCCAATTCCAATTGTACCCCTTAGCCCTTGGTTTTGCATGTTCATGTCAAGCAAAGGGGCGTCCCAATTCTCCGCAAGGCTAAGGGCAAGAGGTACACAGCCCTTGAAACAAAGACAAATTAGGACCTCACTTGAAAGCAAGAGGTAAGATTTTGATATTTTCATTGTAATGATACTTGTGTTTTTATCAGATATTCAATCCTTTGCTACTCTGGGTAAATATTAGCAATGTTTTGAATTGTTTGCGTTTTAAAATCACTCGTTATGGCGAGCTAGCTAGTGAAGCTATAGCTATTGATAACTACACTGATGTCAGACTCGGGTGACAAATTCACTGCAAACGGCAAGGCATGATGACGTAGTGGGAATCGGGTGGCGTCGGGAATTGGGGCACATTTTCACGCCTTCCCTTTGGCCCTCAAAACGGAGGCAAGAATGTGAGCGTCATGTGGAGATCCATAGATAATGTATTTTGGGCATTGTTATGAATCACCAACAATAACAGTAAAACAGCAAGGACATGTAAAGGTACCATCAGTTGGTTCCGTGCGCCAAAAATACACCAAAGGGGGTATTATATTAGACTGTATTTAAAATGAGTGCTGTAGTTGTAGGGGGTTAGAGTAACCCTGGTCTATACTGGTTGCAGTGTAGACCATAAATCCTGTTTCTGTATGCAAGTGTTAATTTGTCTGAAAAGTTTAGTTTTAATCAGTTGTTTTGTTTTGAAGAGAAAGGATATGACACTATGACTGATGGTCTTGTACGTCATTAAGTGTTACCACGGTTACGTTGAGTCGGTTTGTTATATATTATATTTGGGTTTGACTCTTTTTCTTATGGGTTTATATAGACTTAAATTCTGCTTTTGACGCACATAGAATACGAAAGGTCATATATAATAAAGATCAGCTTCTTAAACCAATAATAGAGACTTTTATTAGAGTAATTGTGTTAGTCTAATCAGAGTTTGCATTGCTGTAAAAAAAAAAAAAAACCTCTCTGTATGAAGAGTCCACAGAAGCAGCACTGTAACCTGAGTCATCTCATCTCTCATTTATTGATAAAGCTCCTCCATCATATCAGACCTGTAATCAGAGCTCTTCAGAATACATTTGTTTATAATCACACATGATGTGGGCACTTGAAAGTAAATTAACCCCGAAACTGCCCACTCAGGTCAAAAAAGGGGGCTTGAGAAATCAAGCAAATATACAGTAGCTTTTACAATCAACCACATTTATTTATAGGAAAAGATTGCCTTTTCCTCCATGACGCAAGTTCTTTACAGATTGGCCATTGGAAAAGCTTGAACAGATTTAAAAACGTACGCATTTACCAGTTGTTCGGTGAAGGTCATGATGATGTTTATTTTTATTTGAATGGTTAGGATCCTTTAATCCCATTGCACTTTAACTGAATATTGTCTTTTCCCTTGTTGTAGGTCTGTACAGTCGCCAACCACAGGCACTTTTCATATGTGGCGAAAGAAATGGACTAAAATGAACTTTCCCAGACCCGTTTTGTGGCGCCAGACTTCTGATCCATACTTTTGCATCAAGTCTATGCTGACGACACCCATTTTTGTATGAGTGTGTATGCGGTTTCTGGGGCTTTTGGAGCTAGCCTCAAGTGGACACTCTTGGAACTGCAGTTTGTTGCACACTTTAAAAACCTTAAGTTGCCCCCTGGGAAAAAGAGAAATCTTAGTTTGATTATCTACTCCCAATCAGTTGAACAAATTTCTGTCATTTTTTTTATAGTTTGGGCGGGTCACAGTGAAATCAGGGCCCTGAGCCGATTCAGAGCAAACTCCAGAAAGTAGTTTTCTTGTTTGCACCTGTTCAGAATGGTAGACACCTGGACAACTTGACATATTTTCTTTTCATTGCTGAGGTCAAGATCTGTTCATAGGAGTTTTCAAAGGAAACTTACTTAATAACCGGTGCTCTATCCAGATTTCATACTTAGAGTGTGAGCCCTGACATTGTGCTTTCTAGTCAGACTATACAATGTGAGAACATAATGTGGTGTTTCCCGGTGAACAAATCCACTGTTTATGTAAGCTGAAACTCCACCATGACATCTCAGTGTTCTTATATGTAAGCCAAGGAGGTTTCAGCATTCAGGTGGTTTCTACCTATTTCGAGACGTCTTGTTTTCTTCCACTTTATTATTTTATTAATTCGTTGGACATACTGGACAATTGTGTCATTTCTAACCTAGTTTTTTCCCCTTTTTCACAAGATTTCTGGCATCACAATCTGCGTTTGGGTCATCTATACTGCCTTCCTGTTCCATCACAATACTTGATGTGATATCTGTCAGATAAATTCATGTCTTTTGATTTTCCGCCTTTTTAATTGTGACTAACCGACATAAAGCAATAGCCGTTTTAGCGCCTAATGCCACAATAAATAATCGGCATGTAAATTTGTTTTGGTCCAGCAAATGTTTGGACTCTTCTCGGCTTCCAAATGTTGTTAAATAAATCCCATTCTGATCCCGGTGCTGACTTCCTGTTTACATTTCTGATCGGACTCCAAATGAGGACAAAAGTGTGAAAGCAGATCTGCTCGAATTGACACTCACATACACACACAGAGGGAGAAGGAGAGAGAGAAGGAGATCAGAGTCCATTAGGAGCTATCATGTGTCCAACTTGAAGGCCACTGTACCAGCATGAGGAGCATGCCTGTGCATGCTGTCTGTGTAATTATTGAAAAAGAACGTGCATATATGCCTCATTAGCCGAACAGTAGGAATGTCCGTGCTGACCACTGAGCGCTAACACTCCCAGCAGCCGCCAGGATTGGCTTCACACTGAGTCAGAATGGGCGCCGGTTACACAGCCGGGATGTAAACAAAAACAGAGAAAATGGGCTGGACAGGCCATGTGTGTGATGTTGGTGTGCATCCGCTTTACTTTAACTCATCTGGTGTTATGAAATACTGCTGTAGTGATTTGAGCAGCAGCACCAGCAGGGCTGTCATGAGGAGGATTGAATGTGGATGAAAAACGTGGCGTCACGACTTGAACAGGGTTACTGTAAGATGGTTAAAAACCTCTTTTTTTCTATACAGAGGTCTTTGTACTTCATACCTTTTTATAATGACTCTACTTGGACTGCATTCTCATGGGTATATGACTTAATTCTGGTAACATCAAAACTTCATTTTCAAACTCAAACAGTTTAGCGGCGCTACAACACACAGCAGGTCCCATTTGACAAGAAACACTTCTGTTACAGACACTTGGCTTACTTTGTTAAAGCGGTTTACCTGTCCAGCAGAAAGGTTAAAGGGTCCGTAAGATCCTGAAGCGTACCCCAAATGCTGCATTGGTGTTGACCCGGCTTTTGAGCTCTTCTCCGGTCTACCTCAGTTTTAATCCCCCGTTGGTCCGCCAGAGTCTCCGGTATTTACTTCTTTTTCTTGCTTGTGTTGGCAGTCATAGCAAAAAGAGGATTCAGAAAAATTTCCGTACTTTCTGGTTGGTTTCTGCTGTCTGATATTGTAGCACGCTAACTTTGTTTGGACTCGTGAACGACACGGGGGAGCAGCGTCTGCCTCACAACCAATCAGCACAAAGGAGCAGCATCCGCCTCACAACCAATTTGGCTGGGGGAGGCGAAGAATAGATTTGTTTACGGTCAGAAAGAGCGGGCCGCTTAAAAATTTTTAAATGTTGACTACACAGACAACAAATCACAGCGATAGCGTTATATTACTAATTCTTTAACGAATTCCTGCCTACCCCACCTTTAACTATTAACTTCTTAACAATTTATTTCACACAATACAATGAATTTTCGTCACTTTACTCTGGCAAGATTAGGAATATATTCTCCAACCATTATGAATTTAATATGCTTGACTTTATACTTGTATTTTTAAACACTTCATCCTTTAAATCTAAAATGTATTTTCTTAAATTTGACCCTAATCGTCGTACACGTACACAGTGTTTGTCTATAGCATGTTCATGAGAGCAATTTTAACCATTTTAAAAAGAAATAGAGGAAAATCTCAGTTTGCAGATATAACTGCCTACAGGTTGGTTCGGTTTAAAGAGGGGCAGTAGGATGGAAAGACTGTGTGAAGTGCAACCTAACATGGAGACATGTTATCAGGTGGTTTAGCATAAGACAGAGCATATTTGGGGTGTCATTGCAATCAGTACACAGATTCGAGAAATTAGAAGCCATTGTTTCAACAGAATCTTACTCAGCACAGGTTTTTCAATATTCATACACCAAGGACGGCACCTGAGGGGGGGGGACTTATGTAATAGTTTCTGGAAATCATTGCACAGAAGATGTTGATTATTTCACACCTGGAGGGTGGATAAATGTTTGTTAATTACCTGTGTTTGTGCATGTGCGAGGGAGTGTGAGGTAAAATAGGAGACTTACCCCCCCCCCCCCCACACCATCTCTCCCTGCGTGAAGCTATTAATGTTACGTAAACAGTGTTGCAAAGGGCAGCTTGTTGACGTCAAAGGTTAAGCATTTGTAAGATCACTCAATGGTAGTCACATTTACCCACCACACTGCTCTCTGAAGTAGCAATGGTTCTGATTCCACCATTACCTCTGAAACAAGTCTGCAGAATGCCTCATGGAAAGAGAAAAGCACCTATCGCCAATTTTCCTAAAGTGCTTTTTACTGCGCTCCTTTGTCTGCAGACTAAGAAACAAATACCTTGTGTCTGTTACATAAAACATATACAGCTTAGAGGAACAGGCTGGATATCCAACACTTGCTTCTTTGTTACTAAGGTTGTCTTACTTGACTCTATTGTTTACTTCTTATGTTCAGACAGATCATTTATACCTGAGAGAACACGTTGCGTCTAAGTCCACACAACTTGGAGTAATTCAAACTGTTCACTGTAAAAGCTTGTAACGAGGGAAAATGTCTTCCATAGGAGCAAGAGCATTTTCTTGATAAGTTTTGACGATTTCCATCAGACATGTCCTCCTTTAAAGGGATATTCCGGCGTAAAATTAATTCAGGGTCAAACACACCGTAACACCAAGTTAGACACCCCATCGAGAGATGAATGTTGCCGACCGCTTCCTTCTCTAGTTAAACCAACTTTAGTAACGACGACGACGGCCCCAATCCGGAACTGTGGCGATTTTTGGCCGGATTGGATTTTGGCCATCCACCAATTCCTTCTGGATCCGTTTGTCAGGCAAATTTTGTGGCGGATTACGGCTAGCAGGAATTGCGAGAACTCGCAAGAACCTTTTGGATTCACGTGCAATCATGCGATAACGAGTTTTCTCTATCAAAACAGTCACATAACCATATAAGCAGTAGATTGTGTCCTTCCAGAGGAAAAAAATCGAGTTCTAGACTTCTAGATTCAGCATCTCTTTATCCATGGTGTCAACGGGGGGAAATTCTGTCTTAAAAACTCATCTGGGGGTTGGGATTTGGCTGAGGCGTACACAGGTGAATATAGATATATGATGTGTTATAATTTAAGGGGTTAGGTATGATCAGTAGAGACAGAAATGTGAATAAATGTGGGGTGGCCCAACCAGTGCCCTGATTGGGCCACTGCAGTTGAAAAACTCTGGACACGGCCCTGTGAAGGTATCAGCTGCACTGAAACTGAACATTTCTTGGAGTAAAAATGAACACAATGTTTTGAAAAATGGATTTAAATGAAGATGTTTATTGATGAGACTGAGATGAGTCTGTGGGGTGAGCTCAGGTCTTCAGGTCTGCATAATCAGATGTTGTCTTTCTTTTTACCTGTACCTTCACTGCTATTCTGTCCATTATGAAAATAACCATCTGCTCAATCTCAGACGGGTCAGACGAGGAAAACCCTCTGAACCAGCATCTGTTCGGTGTATGCGAGGTCATCAACCAACGCTTAGTCATTTCTAATCACTCAGAGGAATAAGTCTGGAAACCTGAAAAGACACAGCTGATAGTCCTGTAACAGTTCCGAGTTACAGATGCGTCAGACATGGTAATTTCCTGGTTCTGTTCCCTTTAAAGTGAAAGGAAATCGGTTGCCTGAAACTCTCTAAAAAACAGGTCAGGAACAAAAAACATAAACACAAAGTGAAGCTTTATTTACAATTCGCTGTCGTACATCACACATGAGGTCTGACATCAGGTTTTATGTCACCGATAACGACCCGGCTGACAGATTGCTCGTTTATCAAAACACGCAGGTGGTCGGCAGACTAAACGTTAAACGAGGGCAGGATTCTGATTGGCTGTGAAACCTGAAGCCTTTGTATTGGAAACAGGCAGGCTCATGCTTCATTCAACAGTTTATCTGCAAGATGGCCCGGCCTGACACGCAACAGTCCAAGTCTCACGCCATGTGGATACGGTGACCCCTCCTCCCCCATCCCCGAGCGTACAAGTTCATGTGGCCTCTGCTGCACCAGCGAGTCTGAATTCATCAGTTTTTAATCTCACAGAATTAGCGGGGAAGTTCTGCGCAGAGAAAATGGGTCGTTTAAAGAAATTATCCATCTGTGAGAAAGGAGAATATTTCCCTTCTGAGAATTTTGTCCTCCTGGTTTTCCAAAAATCCCAGCGGACTGGACTCCCAGATCACATACGTCACATTTATTACACATGGAGTTTTTCTTTTCTTCTTTGCTTTGAACCACTGCTGCAGTCGGCTTTATCACATTTCTTTTATTTGGTTTGATGCAGGCAAACTGGGGCATGTAAACAAATTACACGGACACAAAAACAGCTCATTTGCTGGCGTTTTGTAACCTGTCATTCTGTGAGGTCAGAGATTTTGAAAAGAGGGGACGTAACAAACAAATTCATACAAATGACCCACTCTTCGCCACAGTTAACCTGATCTGGTGTTCAAATGGGAAGTGTATGCTTTTAGTCCTCAACGGTTACAAAACTCTCTTTCATACTCACCGGTTTGGCTTGGTGGTGGATTATTTTTCCCATTCATGAAGCAGGTGGGTTCGATTAAAATCTGCAAACCTTGCTGCCAACTGTTCTCCCAGTTTCCTCCTCGACTTACTGTCCCATCTTTGAAAAAAAGCTTAAAATGACACAATTTTAAAAAATTTTGTTGCTACGGATGTTTAGAAGTATCGTTTCGTCTAATCCCCTTTAGATGTAAATTTAAATTGAGTTGTTTGACATTTATTAAATTGAATAAAATTCACGATGACGTCCTCTAATGATATACAAAAGTAAACAAACTGTACTCGATAAAACAGAAAAATTTAATATCCTTATTTTTATTGTCTGACACCTGTGTGAGGGGGTAAGTCCAAGCCTTGCATCTGTAAACACAACATTTTTACAATTTTAACCTCAAATATTTACAGTAAATTGTACATTTGGCTGTCAAAAAACAGCAGGATGAGATTTCTTCAAGCATGTAACGGACATGACAAGTTGGCAAGTAAAGATTGCTTTGTCCACAGGGGGCGCCAACTGATATGAACCAGAAGTTCCTCACAGGAGCTTTAACTTTCAACAAGCCACTTAGTCTGAAGGTCAGAAAAAAGACTTAGATCTGCTGGTGAACAGAGTTAAATAGATCTGCTGAGTATAGCTAACAGTAGCAGAGCTAGCACCACCAACCGTCAGTCAGGTAGCTTGCGTCGGGAATGTGAGTTAACCTAACACAGCCTACATATAGCCTAAGCTTCAGAAAATTATAAAAAATATAAAAATTATTGTATTTATTTTATATTTTTCCTACACGATCCTGCCCGTGATCTGTGCCTGTTTACATCCAGGTAGTACTGCATCATAACAGTTCCTGCTAGTGGGTGGCTGCATTAAAGCCAAAACTTCATATGACCCACATCCTCTGCCCCCAGTAATAATAGCAATATCAATAAGCTTCAATGGACAATCAATTACAGTGTTGAAATAGCAAAACAATTTGCAAATGCGCCGTTAAAGTCACAAAAATCTGTGTATACATTAGCAGATTTTGATTAAAATTTGTATATTCCATATTCAGGATCTATATATACATCCTTTTATCTTTTTTTCCACAATATGACCTCAATAGAAAAGAACACCTGGGAACTCAGTCATCAGTTACAAATTTATTTATTCGCAGAAATTACTCATACATGTTTAGATGTGCATCGTAACCTTGGCGACAAATCCAGCTTTTTATGGATCTTGATCTTATTCAGGGTCAGAGAAAAAGCATAAAAGACACTTGATACTAATCCCTGAGTCTTCTAGTAAATTTAGGGTATTACAGAATACAATAGTTTATACTTAAAGGATATATGTGCAAAATTCC